GAGCAATTGGCGAATTTCTGTGATGGGAATTTTTGCAACCTTAAATGCAAGACTGTCGACTGTCCGATTGCCATTATAACAACATAAAGTCTATCCGACGTGGAGATAGCCAGGTTGTCCATAGTAGTTTGCTCGATGCGATTATCTGGCGTAAAATCAAGTCCAACTTGCATAACAAGACTCCCCTTTGCCTTGTGCCACTTTTCTAATATTTTCGAAAGGGTTTTTGATAGCATTATTAATAACTATTAATTAGTACCCACGGGCACGGCAAAATATTAGTCGACTAAAACATTTGATGTCGTTTCTGTCGGACTTATTGTTGGCTTACTTGAGGTCCTAGAGGTGCTTCCCTACACTTTTCCATAGATTTCAGTTCCTTCGTTATTAATTAAACGAATTCTCACGGCCTTTTGGATAAAGATGGTGAGAGACTGTAAAGCGGTAAAACTTGAACCGAATGCGCTACGTCACGATTCTTGAATGCCTTTGGTTTTCTAGAAATAAGTTGCGCCTTCTACTTCCTTCGTACCTTTCCGTGGATGTTAGTATTTGTCGTATTCCTAAATATAAACACTTCTTGGATGCACGCAATCGGAGTTTCTCAGAAACGGTTCTTGAAACTGTATTGCACTTCGGAGTCCGCACTTGTTCACGGTATTAAAATGCAGATTTCTCTCGAGCTTGGAACGCTGTTTTCAGTAGTTACCTGGCAGGGTGGTTTCGTGCTGAACGGCCAGGTCTGTCCAATCGATGCTTCATCTCCTGGTTTGTCAATGCTGTTGGACTACAAAATACCAGCGATGCTATTTTGTTGCAGACTATCACGCCTGGCAAAATAATATACACAACACCATTTAGGCCGGCTAAATCAGACGTGGTCACGGCTGCAACGTGTGCTTGTAAAAAGTACGCTGCTTGGCTACACTATCAGACATCGATTGACCTGGTGGATACGTCTGCCTCGTCCCACCCTGTCGCTCAGGTCTTGTCCGTGGCTTCGTCAAACCTTTGTCAGCACGGCAACCACGCCCCAGTGATCGTCCTCGACTAACGGATTAAAACTCAGCTTAGACTTTCTGACTTTGTCTTCAGAAATGACCCCCTTCAAAACAAAAATCCCTACATGCAAGAGGCCTACTATAATAATTCGGATTGCCTTCCAATTAAAAAAGTCTTGACCCCTACTAGAGTTCGGCAGTCCTCTGAGATGACCCAACAGTACCAATTATGGCGGCAGCGGTCAGCTTTTCGCTGGGAAGGAGGAGGATAAAGAATGCTGATAAAACAGATCTTCGCCGGGTAAACTTACCACAGTTGGTGCACGCAAAATATTATCTCGAA